GGAAGCCAGGCGTTGGCACAGGGCGAGCAGCAGCGGAGCGGCTTTTTGGCGTGCGCCGTTCGGGGGGCGCGGGTTGGGGGCCAAGCCCAGGCACGCAGGCCACCGCTGCCGCATCGCGCGCAACGACTTGCAGGCCGCGCGCAAAAAAGGCTACCCGTGCCCAGGGCCTGTTACTGCGTGCAGCCGGCAGGGAGAGGAGGACCCGAGAAGCCCAGACCTCCGAATGCGTGATTGTTTCAGAACGTCCACCTCTGAAGCTCTGGAGATCTCGACCACTTTCTCGGCGCAGACTTCTCATCCTGAGTTGTATCCTACCCTTACGTGTTGGCTGCTTGTTTTGCATAGCACATTTTGGTCTGTATTCCTCCTCCTCGTCCTCCTCCTCGTCCTCCTTGTCCTTCTCGCCATCCGCTCCTCCTCCTCCTCCTCCTCCTCCTCCTCATCCGCCTCATTATCACCATCATCACCAGCAGCAGCATCATCGCCATCATTAGCATCATCTGCATTATCACCACCATCAGCATGATCATCATCATGATCAGGATCATGTTGATGATCATCATCATCATCGTCATCATTATCTACATAATCGTCTTCAGCATCATCATTATTACCATCATCATCATCGCTATCATCATCATATTCAGCATCACCATCATCGGCATCAACATCATCATCATCATCATCATCCTCATTAACAACATCCTTATCATCATCACCAGCAGCAGCACTGTCATCAGTATCAACTTCGTCAACATCATAATCATTATCAGCATCAGCATCATAATCCGCAAGCGCACCTGGGCTCAGACCGCATCCCAGCAGCGCGACAGGGCAGCGCTCGTCCGACTTTCCTTTTCGGGCGCAACCCTCTCCCTCGGCGCATTCGAAGTTGGGCTGGCCGTCAGTATCAGGTGGAGAAGCTGGGCGGCGGGTACCTTGCGATTCACTCCGGATGGGCTGCTGCAGCGTGGACGAACCGGTCAGCAGGTTGCACAATTATCTTGGGCAGACAGTTTAGGATCAAAAGCGTGGTGGACATCTTCACGCCGCCGAAAGCAATCCAAGGCAGAGCTGGGGCGGTGCGGGTGAAGAGTGGCAAGTTCGACGTGACGCTGGTCGTCGGATATCCACCACCTACAGGCGCCACGGGCAGGAAGATCGCCGTGTACGAAGCGGCGGTGAAGGCGACGCACCAGTGGGTGGATCATATCGTGGAGGGCACGCGCGCCCGCTCTCTTCTTGCTGTGGGCATGGATGTGAACAGTGGCTTTGAAGAACGAAGTGATGGGGTTCCTGTGGCAGAGGAACATGCTGGATAATATAACAGAGCAAAGCAGAACATGTCGGGCGACCTTGCGGAGCAGCTGTGCCAGACTCGTAAGTAAGTCGTGTTCACCTAGTACTTGGTATCCTGAGGGTGGGCCCACTTTCTTCGGTGCCAACGGGGCGAGCTCTACGATAGACCACTGGTTCATCCCAGAGTCTGCGATGGGGAACGTCCTCGATTGTAAGGTGAGCTACTACCATGGGAGACGGCTTCAACTCATACCTGATCGGCGCCCACGTGATCATCTACCGCTTTTGCTCGTTCTCGATTATATTCTGGAAATGCGAGATGGAGCCTCTAACTCCGCCGAAAAAAAGCTCATGACATGGGACCTTCAGATGCTATCGGAAGCACTTCAAACGGGCAAAGGTCGCGATTCGTTCTTACTGCAATTGGAGGACCTGTTCACCCAGCACGAGAATGAGTTCATATCCCTCAGAGAAGATAGGCGAGTCGACGAGCACTGGAGCCTGGTGTTGCAACTTGTGCAGGAAGCTGGCCAGGCACACTTTCGAAAGCACCCGCCAGATAGACATAGTACCGCAGAGGCACGCTTGCACGTTGAGAGGCGACGGCTAGCGGCGCTTCGAGCGGAGGAACGAGTACGAGTGGCTGAGGTGGGCTCGCGAGGGTCCGACTCCACTGGCGACGACGAGCAGGTGGAACCCATCAAGCGGCTCACCAAGCAGCCCAGACAATGGGCACGTAGGCGACGAGCTGAGGGACGTGTGCCACTGGAGACGGACCTCGTCGAGGCGGAGAAGTTGGGGCACACTTGCGAGATACATCGCATTGCACACTTGTTGGCTGAACGAGCTCAGGGTACCAAACGGAGGCAGTATCTCACGACGCCTGAGTCGCGACCGTCGGCTGCGGCAGTTGCGGCGTACATGGCGAAGCCGAGTGCGGAGGGAGGCATGTCAGCAGTGCGCGTTGATCGAGCTGAGCTTCTCACCCGTCGTGGTACTACGGCCGCGTGTCTCACAGAAAAGAGTGCTTACCTTGAAGAACATGCTGAACGCGATCTACGTCGCACGATCTGGGCAATGCGAAAGAGCGGGAAGCGCAGGGGATCAGTGCTGCGGAGTGTTCCAGCCGAGCTTCTTCTTTGCCGCATCGAACCTGGACATTGCACTGCAGCGAGGAGACCACCGCGGGGACTGGGACAACCACCGATCGAAGAAGTCGCTCAGTCTTGTCGCAGCTGTCGGTTGGAAGTGCAGGAGGTTTTACTTCGTGTGCGCCGAGCTGATTGCGCTCCTGCAGCTGCGCACTGGTATTTTGGCTTCGCCCTGGACAAACATAGCGGACTCAGAGGTCTGGACGGCAAGAGGCTCATTCACCTGGTCTGCATTTTCTGGAAGTTTTACTTCGGTGGTCTCCTTCGGAAGCCGAGTTGTCGTGAGTGCGAGTTGAACTTCGACCCGACCTGTCGCGGCTACTTTGCGCGCCGCGTGCGAGAGGGCGCAATGATGGTCACGCGGTGCGTGGGATACGCACTCAGACAGAAAGGCCTTCGCAGCGTCTCGGAATTGCTGGATATGTCGAACGCTTTTGCTTGCACGCCGCTGGAGTGGCTGGGGGAGGCCGTAGAGGAGTTGGCGGACCCGGTGGACTGGGCTCTGCTTCACGGCAGGATTCATCATCATATCGTGGAGGTTGAGGCGCGTGGCGAGGCGTTGCACTTCGCCATCGGTCGTGGAGGTCTCATGGGGACTTGTGAGGCGCCCAAGGAGTTCGCTGTTGCATTCAAACGACCCGTGCAACGATGGCGTGAAGAGTGTGCTGCTCAGGACAACCTACTCCTATTCAAGACACCTATACTGGAGCTCCCTGTTCCGTGCGCTGTGGTTCAGTGCGCCGACGATCTGAAGAAGCGGCGCGACATCCTGTCGGGTCTTGCCACTGACGCACACGCGATCATCGAAGAGAGCCAGACGTTGCTAATCGCGGACTTTGAGAAGGGGGGCTTCAAGCAGAATATGAAGAAGCGCGAGATGGTCACTGAACTTTTAAGCCGACGGAGAATCTAAAATTCAAAGCACATTTCAAGCCTGGGTCTGGGAGGATACTACCACGTGCACGGCACCTTTGGGGACGCTATGTGTGGAACGATAACGCGAACGTCGAGGTCGGCTACCGCGTCGACGCTCTAAAGAATGGATGGGCTGACATGGGCAGGTTCTGGTTCGCCAAAGGTCCTCACACATAACGACGACAGCTCTTCTTGGGCAAGGTTGTGGGGGCCGCTCTTTCTGGCATGTGCAGCTACATACTCAGCGAGTTTGAGCTTCATCGTCTTGATGTTCAGATCTGCAAGAAGTTACGAGCGTGGGAAGGTGGAGCGCAGGTGGCACACGACACGCACGTCAAGGTTCTCACTAATAAGCAACTAATGCGACGATGGGGAGGTGTTCCTGCGACGGCGGCTCTGGCAATGCAATTGATACGCCGGCTACAGGACATGGTGCGGCACCCTCTGGCTCATCAACAGGTTATTGCAGCTCTTTGGGGACGCTTGGAGGGCGAGCCCTCGCCGATCGACGCCGAAGGAAAAGCTGACGGTGAGCACTAGCCCGTTGGCCAGGCAGTTCACTCGCGACCTTATGCTGTTGGAGGGTACCAGCGGCATGGAAGACTTCTTCGAAGAGTGGGCGCTGGTTGGCAGGGCTTGGCAAGAGTTGTGGAGTTGCGACCAGGTTAACAAGGCCTTTCTGAAAGTTGATGCGAAGTTGCTGGAGGTGCCACTCATGATGGAGGATCGGCTGCGGGAGAAGCTGGCCCCCCAGAGCCAAGGAGACGGAGGGACCTGAGGGGGGGGGGGGGGGGTCGTGTGCGACCTGACGGACTCGCAGGGCGCTGTTTGCGGCCTGTGCTTTGACCCCTTGAAGAAGCTGGTGGCGCATATGACGAAGGCCCGCGGTGGGTCTCACGGCGTCCTGCGCCCGCTTAGATGCCGCGCGTATGCGAACCAGCGCCTGAACTGCGGCGGCTTGTTTGCCCCAAAAGACAACGCAAAACAACATGCACAAGCGTCTCGGGGTCTTGGGAGGCGTCGGCCTCGACGGGGGCCACCAAGCATGGGAGCTGCAGGTTCCCCCTGAGATTATCTGTAAAATATGTGGGCTCGAGTTCGTCTATTGACCTGAATACTACACTCGCTCGCGAAGAACATTTGCCTCGGCCTGCCCCGCGCCTCGTGGAGCGACATCCGCTTCGCCATGCCCGCGCTGCTGCAGGCCGCCGCGGGCGACAGGAAGGATGGGGGCGCCGACCCGCGCCGCGTCAAGGCTCGCGCGGACGGCGAGAAGGACAATAAGCTCAAAGGCGCCAGCGACCAAGGGCTACGTCGGCTCCTTCTCGCGATGGTCAAGCAGCTCCTGAGGGTGGCGCAAGGGATGCGAGAACTCGGAGGATGCCTATTCGACGCTTTTCTTTGCCCCGCGGACGGGGCGGAAGCGTTGAAGATGGCGGAGCAGACCTACAACTACGCGGAGGCGGTGAAGCGCGACGGGAAAAGGTCACCCTCACGGAGCACCCTACATATGGGCGTTCGCGGGGCTACTGGCGGGACTTCGAGAACGCGGAGAAGCAGCGGGGGGGCCAGAACGCGAAGGCGCTTCAGGACATGATGGAGTGACTCGACGCGCATGGCGCGGGGGAAGACAAGATGGAGACGATGCGGATGTGCCGTCTGGACAAGACGCACGACAAAGGGAAGAAGCGGATCAGCTTCGTGCTGCGAGACGAACGTTGGCGCCAGACGGTGATCGCGCGCTGCGTTCAGGCGGGGGTGGAGCGCAAGCAGGGGAAGGCTCCAGCGTCGTTCATGGAGCGGGAGCTTCAGGAGTACGTCGCGCAGCTGGTGAGCTGAGAGTTCGACGAGCTCGCGATTGTGAGCCTGCTGATGTACCTGAGAGCGTACGTGAGCCTGCTGCTAGTGTACCTGCGCTGGTACGGGAGCCTGCTGATGTACCTGCGCGGGCCCGTGAGCCTGCTGATGTACCTGAGCTGCTACGTGAGCCTGCTGCGGCGATCTTGCGGTTGCTTTGCCTGTCGGCAGCCCCGCCGCAGCGCTGAGTGTTTCGTCTGAGAATTGTTCTTTCCCTGCTCCTCCTCTGACCTCGGTGCTGCCTGGGACTTCCTCTGACCTGGGTCGTGCCGAGTCCCGCTGTGGCTCCTCGGTCCTCGCCTCGTTCCCTTCTTCCTCGAATGCGTTGGGAACCCAGGGGGGTCCTGAGCTCACCGCGACAGTTGCGGAGGCCCCCAGGGAACCCACGAATCCTGAGGCTCTTTTGATTTCTCTCGGGATTGAGCGGGGCAGCGCTCGCTGGAACACTTTAATGGGTAGCGAAAGGTTGCGCTCGATGTTGAAACGCACGAGGCACTAATTCGTTTCCTCCAGTCGGCCGCAGCTCTCGAGTCGGCCGGCGGGGCTAACCGTGGGCCACGTCGGCCTTAGGTGCGGCCCCCTCGCCCTGCGTTCTTCGCTGGTCGTCTCGGTCGAAGTCACCGCACGCCGCCTCTTCCCGATGTCAGTGTATATCAGAGCGACGAATCACGATTCCTCGGCAGATGCTTCGCAGGAGCACCTTACAAATATAAGACACACATAGGGGCCCACGGCGCTCAGTGAAAAAATATAATCCGCATCATCATCCTTACCCTCCTCCTCATCATCAGCAGCATCATCACCATCATCGTCATCATCATTGTCATCCTGATCCTCCTCCCTCCTCCTCTTCCTCCTCCTCCCTTTCTTCCCTCCTTCCTTTCTTCCTTCCTTCCTTCCTTCATTCCTTCCTTCCTTCCTTCCCTTCCTCCCTCCAGCGGTCGCTTGGGGTGGGCTGCGAAGTGCGTAATTGTCGCCGCCTCTCTGGGCTCCTGGGAGGTCTGCGGAGTGGAGTTGTACGCAGGCCCAGCCGAGACCACGCGGTTCCCTGCTCGCGGGGGGGGTGTTCCTGCGCACTGCGGGTTTTTCAACGCGCGCATCCGTACTGAGCGGTCCTGGGCATGGTCGCCACATGTTTAGTTCACGGCGAGTCGGGTACGTCGCGAGGCATGTTGTTGACGGGCCTGGGGCCCGGTGAGGCCGAGACGTGCCAATAACCTCGCGTCGTATTTTCCCCCGGCGAAAAGAAGCGTGGGGAGGCGTGGGAGGCGCGGCGCGGGGCGCGGGCCGGGGCGCAGGAGACGCCGCTGCTGCAGTGCACGCTGCAGGCGAGCCCTTGGCACGGGCGCTCCCGCGTCCTCCTCCCCCCCTCCTTCCTCCTCCTCCTCTTTCCTCCTCCCTCCTTCCTCCTTCCTCCTCTCTCCTCCTCCCTCCTTCCTCCTTCCTCCTCCTTCCTCCTCTTTCCTCCTCCCTCCTTCCTCCCTCCTCCCTCCTCCCTCCTCCATCCTCCTTCTTCCTTCCATCCCCTTTCCGCCTCTAGCGCATGCACTCATCACACGGTAGCCCAGGATCCGCCACGCGACGTGCGTATATCCTTTCCTTGCTACACTTCCCCCGTCAAGACCGCACCCTACGCCGCTTCAGCTCGCACCCATCTCGAGTCACCGACGCCTCAGGTTCATTTCGATTAGTCTGGCCGTGCCCTCGCGTAAGTCATCTTCTCGGACTCCGGACGGGCCTTCTGAGCGACGAAGTTTCCTTTTCCTCCTCCTCCTTCACATCCTTCTCCTCCTTCACCTCCTCCTTCGCCTCCGCCTCCTCCTCCTCCTCCTCCTCCTCCTCCTCCTCCTCCTTCTCGTTTCAGTGTAGGTTTCCAAGTCATTTCCGAGAGGCCCCTTTGGATCAGGCGCGCAATGCACCGAGGCCGACGGCGACTTGGTGTCCACAGCGTCTGCCCTGTAGTGCGCTTCCTTCGATTTGCGCCACCTGGTGCACCTGGGCGCCGTGCCACAGTTCCACCACTGCGCCTGCGTCTTGCCTTGCGCGCAGGAGCGCAAGCACCCGACAAACAAAAGACACTTGCGAGCCGGGTCTGCGCGCTTGGGCGAGGAGGAGGAGGAGGAGGAGGAGGAGGAGGAGGAGGATCAGGAGAAGGAGGAGGAGGAGGAGGGAGAGGATCAGGAGGACTAGGAGGAGGAGGAGGAGGAGGAGGAGGACTAGGAGGATGCGTGCGAGCCTGGTCGGCGCGCTTGGGCCCCTTTCCCCAGCGCCTCGTCGATCTCCTCCAGCTGCTCCTGCAAGGGAGCACGGCCTCCGTGCGTCGGCGCCGAGGTCCAGACGTGCGGCGGATCGGCGGTATCCCTTAGAACCAGGAGGAGGAGGAGGAGGAGGAGGAGAAGGAGGAGGAGGAGAAGGAGGAAGAGGAGGAGGAGGAGGAGAAGCCGATAGCGGAGGAGAAGGAGGAAAAGGAGGAGGAGGAGGAGGAGGAGGCGGGAGGCACGGACAGGAGGGATATCAGGTTGGGGTCTGGGTCGGGTCGGCCAACCCCTTCCACGCTTGCGTCGGACAGTGGTCCTCCTCTCACTCTCCTCCTCTTCTTCCCTCCGCAGCAGTCTGGGCTAGAGATCGCTCCAGCCTGCAAGGCGATCCTCGCGATGATCCCAGCCTCTCCGCTGCGGAGCCTCAGCCTCAGGTCGCTGCGCGAGACCCGGGGAAGCTCGGACAGGATGGGGTGTAACGAAAGCTCCCGACCCCTCCCAGGTACTTATCGGTCGTTGAAAGTAGGTGTCTTTGGATACCCAGCGTCGGCGGCGGCTGGCGGCGCTGGCGGAGAGCATCGACGAGGAGGTGGTGGCTGTGGTGGTGGTCGTTGTGTGGTGGTTTGTGGTGGTGGTGGTTGTGGTGGTGGTGATGGTGGTGGTAGTGGTGGTGGCGATGGTGGTGGTGGTGGTGGTGGTGGTGTGGTGGTGGCGTGGTGGTTTGTGGTGGTGGTGCTGCTGCTGCTGCTGGTGCTGCTGCTGGTGGTGCTGGTTGTGGTGGTGGGTGGCGGGTGGTGCTGGTGGCGGTGGCGGTGGTGGTTGGTGGTGGTGGTGTGGTGGTGGTTTGCTGTGGTGGTGGTGGGTTGTGGTGGTGGTGCGTTTTGGTGCCCGTGGTGGTGGTGGTGGTGGTGGTGATGGTGGTGGTGAGTTGGTTTGTGGTGGTGGTGGTGGTGGTTGTTTTGTGTTGTGGTGAGTTGTGGTGGTGGTGGTTGTGGCGTTGGTGTTGGTGTAGTGGTTTGTAATGGTTGTGGTGGTTCTGGTGGTGGTGGGTTGTGGTGGTGGTGGTGGAGGTGGTGGCATGGTGTGGTGGTGGTTTGTGGTGGTGGTGATGGTGTGGCCTTCGGGTCTTCACGCCGCCGTGCCTTGGTTTTGGGTCAGAGTTCTAATGGATGCCTTTTGGGGTCTCGTCAGAGGGGTCTCGGGGGCGTCGAGGAGCATGTGTGAGCCTTTCTGGGCGCCTCTTGGGCGTCTCCTGGACCTTCCTAAGAGCCGCTGCGGCCTCTGGGCCCTCTCTGGTCATCGTCGCTGCGTCCCCGCCGTCGGCGCTGCCCGCCGGGGCCGGCGCCTGCGCTTGCGGCGGCGCCTGGGGAGGTTGAGGGGGGAGGGTTCGAGCCCCCCCGGGGAGGAGCCGGAAGAGAGAAGGTTGGGCGAGGAGTTAGAATCCCCCACTCTCCTTTCCCGAGGGGGTCGGGGGGGGGGACCCCAGCCTGGGTTAGGGGGGAGGGGAGTTCCCCTGGTTCTGATCGACGGCGCCGAATGTTGGGAGGGGGGGGCTCTGTTCGAAACGCGCCGCCGAATGTTCCCAAGGCAAGCGCCCGTGAAACGCGCTCGCTCCCAGATTCCGATCTACTTCAAGCGCCTTCCTACTTCAATGATCGAGTGGCTCCGCTTTTTCCATCCGCCTTGGGGGGCGGACGGAACCCCATCTGCTTTTGGCGCTTTCCTGCTTCATGTTTCTGCCTGCTGCTTCCGACCGATGGGCAAGGCTGCGGGCTGCGAACAGATGGCCTCCTCAGGCAGTCCGGGTCTCAACTCCTCGGCGCCGCCTCTGGCGGCGCCCCTGCAGGGCCGCTCCGCGCCCCAGGACCGAGGCGTTGAGACCGCCCCGGACTGCTCGGGGGCCTGCCGCTGCCAGCCGGGACTGCTCGGGGGGCCTGTGGGGGCCAGCGGGCTCTGCCCGGGGGGGGGGGGGCTGCCCGGTCCTCGCGCGGCCCGCCCCGCCCTGCCCTGGTCTTCGCTGGGAGCCCCACCGCCCTGCCCTGCCCCGCCTTCCTCTCGGCCGCGTGGGGGAGTTGTGCCTTCTCTCTTGCCCGGCGAGGCCGTCGGTTTGCAGTTCTGACCTCAGCAGCAGCTGGCCGGCCCCCTTCGACAGCTACGAGTCCTGGGAGCTCGAGAGCGAAGCGGGAGAGCCTGGCGAGGGTCCGGCGAGTTGCTGGCAAGCGTTTCGGCGGAAGTGCGCGGGCATCGTGGGGTCTTATGCCTTCAACACCTTTATTGGCGCATGCATCATATCAAATTGTGCGACGATCAATCTCGAGCAACATGGTCGGCTCCAGCACGGGGCCGACAGCGTGTCTACTACGCTTGTTGCGGTGGAGGATGGGTTTCTTGTGGTGTACTCGCTTGAGCTCGCCATGCGCTACTTGGGCATGGGATGGCGGTGTCTCCGGAACCGCTGGGTACTGTTCGACACTTTATTGGTGGTGATCGGAGTATGTGTCAGATTGGGCAGTGCTTTGCTTAGTGACGACATGGCAGGGGCAAGCACATTTGTGATGTTTCGGACGGTGCGGCTAGTACGTTTGGCGCGAGCTCTCAATCTGGTCAAATTGAAGGTCTTCTGGACGTTATTACGGGGGCTGGTGGGCTCTGCAGACACGATGTTCTACACCCTGATCGTCCTCGCGATGATGCTGTACATATTCGCCGCCATCGGCCTGGACGTCGTCACCCTGAGATACCGAGACCGCAATTACGTCAACCAGCCTGAGGTTGAGAGAGTTGTTGAAGAGTATTTCGGGTCAATGACCGACACGATGCTCACAATCTTGCAATTCCTATGCCTTGACAGTGTGGGTGAAATCTACAGGCCGTTGATAAGGAATGACTTGAGTCTGGCGTTGTATTTTGTGCTCATTATCCTAATTCTCCCGATCGTGCTCTTGAATCTCGTCACCGCTCTGACAGTGAACAGTGCCATGGAGGAGGCAGCCAACGACAAGTTGGCAAGGAAGGAGCAGGAGGCACACAGGAAGCGGACCCTCCTCAAGAAGGCCAAGGAGCTGTTTGTGGCGCTGGATGGCGACTGCTCCAATGCCATCAGCCGCGAAGAGATGGAGGCCGTCGACGAGGAGGGGAAGGGCCTACTGTGCGAGATCTGTGGGAACGTCGATCCGCTTACCATGTTCGATCTCCTGGACGTCGACGGGAGCGGCGAGCTGGACATCGACGAGTTCTGCGGCGGCGTGTTGAAGTTCATCAGCTCCGGGGAGTCCCTCGAGATGCTGCGCATGCAGGGCCAGGTGCAGCTGCTTGCTGCGGGGCACAGTCAGATCAGCACAGCGCTGTCCGGCATCTTGGAGCTCGTGGACGACCCGCAGGCGCCACCCGCGGTCGGGACGCAGCCGGCGCTGCGGCCCGGACGCACGAGGACTGGCAGGGCCTCGGGTTGCGCACCGACGGCCCCCCCTCCCCAGGTAGTCCCAACTAGCCTCCACAAGCCCCCCGAAGAGTCGCAGCTGGCCTCAACAGGCCCCCCGTGGTGCCAACACCCTGGCGCCGCCTCTGGCGGCGCCCCTGGTGCCGCTCCGCGCCCAGGGGGCGGAGGTGTCGAGATCGCCCAGGGCCACTCGGGGGGCCGGTGGAGGCCAGCTGGGGCTACTCGCGGGGCCTGCTGAGGCCAGCCAGGCTCTACCTGCGGGGAGGAGGAGGAGGAGGACGAGGAGGAGGACGAGGACGAGGACGAGGAGGGAGGAGTAGGGAAGAGGAGGAAGCGGAGGAGTAGGAAGGAGGAGGAGGAGGAGGAGGAGGAGGACGATGAGGGAGGGAGGAAGAGGAGCAGGAGGAGGCGGAGGAGGAGAAGGACGAGGAGGAGGAGTAGGACCAGTGTAAACCCAAGAGTCATCAACGATAGTGGAATAAACCCTCCCTCCAAGCTTCCTCTTCATAGGCCCCTGCATGGGTTCATTTCCCCTGAGGGAACTGCCTGGTTGGAAGGCAACCGTTTGAAGACCTGATGCATGCCAACACATCGTTCTCGGGATTCCAACGCCACGGATCAATCTGACTGTTGCGCCTTAGCGGTCCTGAATCGTGCCAGAACGCCATTCCTGGGACTTCAACGCCGCGAATCAACGTAAGTGTTGCACCCTTATAATCCTGAATGTTCGAATCCTTCCAAAACGCCATTCCTGGTGCGCTGATCATGGGAATCCGTGAAACTGCTGTAATTGTTTAAAAAGTATGCGCGGCGCTGAGGCTAGAGCCACTTTTTGAAAAGGAGCCGCCTTCAATCCTAGAAACTCTTGCATATGTTTGAAATGAATGCGCGCGGTGCGAAAGCGAGAGCCATAGTTTGAAGAGGAACCGCCCTCGATCCACGAAAGTCTTGCAAGTTTTATGAATGAATGTGCGCGGCGCTAAGGTGAGAGCCACAATTTGAAGACCGGCCGCCCTCAATTCGTGACATTAGTTCAACACATGTTTGACATTAATGTGCGCGGCGCTAAGGCGAGAGCCACATTTGGAAGACCACCCGCTCTCCATTATTAAAAGCGCTGTCAATGATTAAGCTTCAGTGTCATAAATGATGAGGGAGTCCCAGGCGAAACGCTCGGACCGCCCTAAAAACTTGGTTCGGGGTGCGACAGGGAGGAGTTACTCATAAGGAAAAGGAATGGAGCAGGAGGAGGAGGAGCAGGAGGAGGAGGAAGCCAAGGAGGAGGAGGAGGAGGCGGCGGAGGAGGTGCTCTCTGAGCGCAGCCCGAAGCCGCGCCCCACACGAGGAGGCTCTCCCAGCCCAGGCGCCCGGAGCCGCAGCCGCCGCCCCGGGCGCCCGCGGACGGCCCGGCGACGCGGAGCGAGAACGCCGCGCTGCAGCGGCGGCTCGAGCTGGCCGAGGCCCAGGAGGGAAAAAAACACACAGACACAATGAGTCGTCGATTTCCCCGAAAATATAGGAAAATAGGGGAAGTGGGGGGGGAAGACAGAAACCCAGAAGATATGGGAACATATGCGGAATCTTTTTATTTGTGTCTATTTCTTTGTGTGTCCCAGTTCCCCTGGAGAGGCCCTGCTCGCCGAGCTCGCCGCCGAGGCCGGCGGCCCCGGGGGCGCGGCGGGGGCCGGCGGCGGCGGCGATCAGGCACGGCGGCGTGCCGGGGCTCACGCAACGGTGGTGGGCCCTGTCGCGGGTCGGCCCTTCCCCTCCGTGGAGATCACTGTTGATCGAAGAATAATAATCATAATACTACTACTACTACTACTACTACTACTACTACTACTACTACTACTACTACTACTACTACTACTACTACTACTACTACTACTACTACTACTACTACTACTACTACTACTACTAATAATAATAATAATAATAATAATAATAATACTAATAATAATAAGAGGAAGAAGAAGAAAAAGAAGAAGAGGAAGAAGAAGAAGGAGGAGAAGAAGCAGAAACGCCATGTACATCAGCTTGTGGCGCTCCGCGCGGACTTCTTGGACCCGCGCTGGCCCCCCCCCCCTGGCGGCGCCTGTCGCGGGTCGGCCCTGTCGCGGGTCGGCCCTTCCCCTCCGTGGAGATCATTGGTGATCGAAGAAAACTCAGAGCCCCGAATCATCCGGGGTAACTCGGGTCAGGGCTAACTCGGGTTCGTTTTTCGGGAGTCCGAGCCCGAGTTACCCCGGGCCCGAGTTACCCCGGATAACTCGGGCGTCCAGAGCCCCGAATCATCCGGGGTAACTCGGGTCAGGGCTAACTCGGGTTCGTTTTTCGGGAGTCCGAGCCCGAGTTACCCCGGGCCCGAGTTACCCCGGATAACTCGGGCGTCCAGAGCCCCGAATCATCAGGGGTAACTCGGGTCAGGGCTAACTCGGGTTCGTTTTTCGGGAATCCGAACCCGAGTTACCCCGGGCCCGAGTTACCCCAGATAACTCGGGCGCCCAAAAGAAGAAGAAGAAGAAGAAGAAGAAACAGAAACGCCATATACATCTGCTTGTGGCACTCCGCGCGGACTTCTTGGACCCGCGCCGGCCCCCCCCCCCTGGCGGGCGCCTCCGGCGCCGCCCCTGGCGCTCTCCGCGCCCCAGGGAGGGGGGTCCAGCGCAGATCCAAGAAATCCGCGCGGAGCTCCAAAAGTTGATGTTCACGCCGTTCTTCTCTTTGTTGAGCCAGTGAGCCCAACAGAGTGGCATCCGTTACGGGAGGTCGCCCCCCTTTTCCCCGTACCCGTCCTGAATGTCTTCAGCGGAGGAGGGGGGCTGGTTCACCTGCAGGGGTGGCGCGGTCGATGCTCCCAGGCATGATGTGGTGTTGACTGGCATCTTTCAGCAGGGAAGAAACACACAGACACAAGTAATCGTCGATTCCCAGGACAAGATGGGGAAAGTATGGGAAGTGTGTGGGGGGGAAGGCAAACGCCCAGAAAATATGGGAAGGTATGGGGAATACTGTCACCTCTGTGCGTATGCATTCGTGTGTCCTGGGGCCCCTTCAATCTTCTGTGCTCGCAGGCATGGGGTGGCGCCCGCACGCCCGAACCCCCACCCCTTCCCCGCAGCGGGCGCTGCGGGGAGGGGACGACGAAGAAGTGGGGCGCGCGCCCCGGCTCTCGCACGCGGCAGGGCCGGGGCAGGGCGAGGCGGAGGGGGGGGAGGGTCCTCTGGGCCATCCTGGTGCTCTCCTGGGGACCTCATGGGCCATCGTGGGGAGGCAGGGGCAGGGGGGGGGGGGGGGCAGAGGGGGCCAGGGGGGGGGGGAGGGGGGGCGAGGCGCGGACGAGCGAGCGAGGACGAACACACCACCGGGGGTCCGAGCTCTACTAAGAAGCACAGCCGGGCGAGGGAAGAAAGGGCTCCGCCGGCCCAGGCGCAGGGGCGGGGCTCTCTGTGCCTCGCTTCTCCTCACTCCTCCCCACTTCTCCTCACTCCTCATCACTCACTCCTCCTCCTCCTCCTCCTCCTCCTCCCCTCCTCCTCCTCCTCCTCCTCCTCCTCCTCCTCCTCCTCCTCCTCCTCCTCCTCCTCCTCCTCCTCTCCCTCTCCTCCTCCTCCTCCTCCTCGCTCCTCCTCCTCCTCCTCCCTCCTCCTCCCCCCCCTCCTCCCCTCCTCCTCCTCCTCCTCCTCCTCCTCCTCCTCCTCCTCCTCCTCCCTCCTCCTCCTCCTCCTCCTCCTCCTCCTCCTCACAGAGGGGGCCGGGAGAGGGCCCCGCGGCCCGGAAGGGAGGCGCCCAGGGAGCCCCCAGGGGGGAGGTCGAGCGGCAGCGAGGGTCGACGGCTCCGCGGCCCGGCAGGGAGGCGGCCCAGCCAGGGACGGGCTCCGCGGCCCAGCGGCCCAGGACGGACGAGGCCCAGAGGGGGGGGGGGCCCAGGGCAGGAAGACGGGCGACAGCGAAGAGACAAACCGCTTCTGCGGCCCACGGGCGGGCGAGGCCCAAAGGCTGGGGGCGCCGGGGGCGGGCCCCGCGGCCCAGCCCAGCAGACCAGAAGAGAGGAGAGGCTTGGGAGGCGCAGCAGGGGGGGGGGGGGGGGGGGGGACGAACGACAAGAAAAAGCAGGAGTTCCGCGGCCGAGGAGGGCGGGCGGGGCCCAGGAGGGGCCAAGGGCGGGCTCCGCGGCCCGGAGCGGAGGCGGCCTGGAGAGGCCAGGGCCAGAGGGGCGACCGACGAGGGGCGGGCCCCGCGTGTCAGAACGGGGAGAGGCCCACGGCGAGGACGATCGCAGAGGAAAGTGCAGGGCTCCGCGGCCAGGGAGGGAGGGGGGGACGGCAACCAGGGGTGGGCTCCGCGGAAAGGAGGCGGCCCAGCCAAGGGCGGGTTCCGCGGCCCAGCGGCGCAGACTTGGACGGGAGGCCCAGGGGGAAGGACGAACGGCAACGAAAACATCGGGTTCCGCGGCCCAGGGGCGGGGGCGGGGCCCAGGGGGGTCAGGGGTGGGGTCGGCGGCTCAGAATGGGAAGAGGCAAGGAGGTTCATGCGGGGGTGGGGTGGGTGGCGGGGGGGGGGGGAAGGGGGGGGCGGGGTCGGCGGCCTCGCCAGAAGGGGGGAGAAGGGGGGGGGGGGCGGGCGGAGACAGGCCTCGGCGGCCCCCAGAAGGGAGGCGACCCAGCCAGGGGCGGGCTCCGCGGCCAAGCAGCCCAGACTGGACGAGGCCAGGGGGAGGCCCAGGGCGGGAAGGACGAACGACAGGGACGAGAAGCTGGTGGCGCGGCCCACGGGCGGGGGGCGGGGCCCGGGGGAAGAAGAGGCTCGGCAGCCAAAGGGGCTCGGCGGCCCAGAGGAGGGGGAGGGGAGACGGGGGGGGGTGCGGAGCCAGGGGGCGGGCTCCACGGCCCAGAATCGGGTGGCGGCTCAGCCAGGAGCGGGCTCCGCGGCCAGGGGCGCCCAGCGACGACGACGACGACGACGACGAGGACGACGAGGACGAGGACGAGGACGACGACGACGACGACGAGGAGCACCACTACGACGACGACTACGAGCACGGCGACGACGACGACGAACAGCAAGGAAGATTGCGGGCTCTGCGGCCCAGGGGCGGGGCCCATGAGGGGGCCAATGGGCGGGCCCCGCGGCGCAGCAGGAGCGAGGATACCAGGGGAAAGCCCAGGGGAATGCCCAGGGGCGAGGACGAGCGACAGCAGAGATACAGAGGCCGGAACCTGAGAGCACAGTCGTGCAAGAGCGGGTTTGGGAGCCACGCGGGGCCGATTGCCCTTTTCCGTTCTCCGCTGACCCGGGCCTGGGGAGCTGTACCAGTCAGGGGGCAACACTCGCGGGGGGCCGTCTCTGGGGGGGGGGCGCATCGACCCACAATCGCCCCTTGATCGCCGATGGGGGCCCGATAGCCCACGTGTTCGGTAGCCAATCATGGGAGGCCTGGCGTACCCTGCTGATTCCGTCCAGCGTCTGGGAGGCGACGAGGTAGCGCCGATTTTGCGTCGGCCAGCGTCCATTAGCGCCGATCTAGCGTCGACGAGCGTCGATTCGCAAGAGCCGATAAGATGGTATGGGAGGCTCCCATGAGTTGCCACCGAACACGTGCGGGCTTGCCATCGAGGACCAATCGCCGATACAGCGGCGATGTACCGCCGATTCCAGCTCTCGATGCGTCCTTCCTCCAGGCTGGTCTCCCCCCCAGCGCTGCACCTCGACGCAGCGGCGGGGCTTCACGACAGGGCCCTGGCCGACCCGGGCATGGGCTGGCCCGGGTTGGTGCGCCCCCGACCTCGAAGAAGAATTGATGGAGCTCCTCCTCCTCCATCTCCTCCTCCTCATCCTCCTCCTCCTCGGGCTGGTCTTTTCGGAGTTCCGCGCGGCTTTCTTGGAGTGGCGCCGAGCCCCTTGGCGGCGCCTCTGGCGTCGCCCCTGGCGCGCTCCGCGCGCCAGGGGCCAGGGGGTCCCAAGTGCCGATCCACGACATCCGCGCAGACCTCCAGACGTTTTCGTTTATGCTGTTTGCTGTTGTTTCTCTGCGTTTTTCGTTGCTGCGTGCTTACTGTTGTCCACTGTTGCTCATGTGTGCTAGTTGTGTTGCTTGCTGGTGTTTCTTTGTGTTGCTATGCTTGATGTGCTCGCTTACGTTCATGTTGTGTGTTCTTGTCTCCAGGCGTTCCAGACCGTTCTGGCCTGGGACGGCGCGCCCTCGCGTGCCGGGAGCCCCGCGAGCACGGAGGTCGCGCCCGCGCCCGAGCCGCCCGAGCCAGTGTTGTACGAGAGGGTCTTGCGGGACGAGGAGAGCAAGAGCCCGTGAGTTGTCGCGTGGCGGTGCACGCCAGCAGAATCGGAGTGCAGTCTGCATCCTTATCGTGCATCCTTATGATACGGGTCGGCTGCAGTTCTGCCCGCGTGCTCGGCTGCTTGTAAGGGATGGCAGAAGCGGAGGGTAAGGAGGCCTTCGCAAGGGCTGCGAGGTGAATCGCCTGTCGCCGTCCCACTACTTCCCTTCCTCCTCCTCCTCATCATCATCAGCAGCATCATCAACAACAACATCTTCATCATGGTCATCAGCATCATCACTATCAGCATCATCATCGTCATCATCATTATCAGCATCATCATCATCCTCGACCGAACCCCCGAGGGCGTTGCACTGACCGTGCATGCGAAGGGTCTGGCTTGATTGCTTTGAATTAAACTTTGCAAGCAGCCTTTAATGGAAGCTCCCCTTGTCTTGAAGTACATTGGAGACGTGCATTTCGCACGCCTTTCCGAGGGGGCTTGCAAGCTGGCTCTGTGCCACGAGGACGACCTATTGCAATCGGTGGTTGCGAAGTTCACCCCTGGCAGTGTTGCGCGATGTTGGCTTCTGTCACAATTCCTCCGAATCACTCATTGCTTCCCTCCTCTTCCCACCTTCGACTTACGCTTACCGCTGAAAAGCGTGGTGGGGTGAATGTCTTTTAGTGTAGGGTCTTTCGACAGAACGTAGGTTTCCTCCCGCGAGACGCCTTCCCACTCCGTCGAGAACTGGGAGCCGCGTCGCAGATCGTGTCGGTCAACTGTTGTTTGCAAGTGGGCAGCATCACTGCTTCTCGAGATTCTGCCTCGAGATGTCGATGAGATCCATATCGTCTTCTGCAGCAAATGGGCACGGCCCAGACCTTGGCTGATACTCTGATTACCTCGTCAGACCTTCATTTTCCTCCCCCTCTCAACCGTCATCCTTGTCTGCTTTGCCATGTGCACGCCAGTACTTTTGGCGTCCTACGTTGTGATGCATTTGTCCGCCTACTCTCTTCAGCGCCAGGCTGCTATCTGTCAGTCTGTCCCATCCCTCTCCTCATTTTCCTCCTCCTCCTCCCCATAATCCACCTCATCTTCCCTTCTCCTCGTCCTGCTCCTCAGGCCTCCTCATTCCCTTCCACCCCATCCAGCTCGTCTCAATCCTGCAACCCCTCTTGTACTTCATCGTTCTGCTCATATCCCCTGCTTCCTTCTAAATTACTTTTCCTCGTTGTGCCACCAGGAGACCCAGTAGGGTGGGCCGGGACTGCAGTATGGTTTTCCCTCACGACTTCGACGCGTCGCAAATTTCCACCAGCCCTTCTGCAGCTTATGAATACAATCAAATTTCGCGAGACGGGAGATGGAGTATCATAAAGAACCATTACACCTGAGAAAACCCCAACCATTGGATGATTTGAAAATTAATCCCATGGATCTTGAGATCGATTGTGATATCGATAATGAGATCGATTGTGTAATCGGTAGTGAGGACGATTGTAAGGTAGATCGTGAGACCGAGAGTGAAATCGATTCAATGAGATCGATAGTGATATTGATCGCGAGATCGTTCATGCGATCTCTAGTGAGATCGCTTGTGAGATCGATAGTGAGATCGATTGTGAGACCGATGGTGAGATCGATCGAGAAGTGGGTAATGAGATCGATGGTGAGACCGATCGATACGAAGATCGACGAGGAACCCGGGAAACCGGGAACCTCGCCGCCCTCCGAAATCGGCCCAGAACCCGGAACCCGGAACCCGGGAATTTCGAACCGGGAACCTGGGATCCCAGCATGCGACCAAAATCGGCGGGACGTTTTCGCCAAATCTTTCAACTTCCGCGAGGACCCCTTCAGTGCAAGCACTGATTGGGGAACAAAAGGGGCATCAGTCTTGGGCAACCGTCCCAGGGGTACCTTTGCATCCATGCCTCCTCTGTCTATCTTCATCTCCTTTCGATGGCCAACCCTGCTCGAAAAGCTTCGACATGGGCGTCCAAGGCCGTTGCATCCTTATCGCGCATCCTTACTTTCAGTTTTGACTGTGGCCTGGGTTTCTCCTTCCTCGGCCTGATTTAGCCTAGTTCTGTTCCGCTTGGTTTAGCGCAGCCTGGCGCAGGCGAGCTTAGTTGGACTTGGCCTGGCATGGCGCCTGTCAGCGTACCTGAGGAAAGCTTTTGCGGAGTTCATCCGTGACTGGCTCGACGTGGTTTCGCCCAGCTGCGAGCGGCCTCGACCAGTGCAGCGGTAGCCCAGCTTGGGGGAGCCGCTCGTACGCCTGGCGCAGCTGAGCTCTACCTGCTGAGAATACCCTGGGATGCCCCGGGGGTCTTCAGGCTCTCTTCGGGCCGGCCCCCCTCCCCATGCAGAGCTCTCCTGGGACACACCAGGGCCCTCTAGAGGCATCAGATCTCCACCAGGAGCCGAAAAGGCGAACGGCGGGGATGCACCGAAAAGCTGATTTTGGCCTCTCGGCGACATCCTCGGGAGACCCTGGTCCACCTCAAATCCATCTTGCGTCCTCTTGGAGCCACGCTGTAGGCCATATTGGGCCATCTCGTGGCGCCGTTGAGGTTTGCATCGGGCTATGTGGGTCATCTTGGCTCATCTCATCCGTCGCGAGCCCCCTGGTCCAGACCCCAGGGAGGGCAGGGGGATGGGTAAACTCTTCCTCGAAGGGGAGGAAGTGTTGGTTTTGGAAGAGCTGCTGCTCGATAACCCATCCACTCTCAAGAAGCTGGTGTGATTCCAGCATCCTGAATCTCAGGCTGTAATAGGCATAACAGTAAGACAGGTGATGGGCGGGTGATCGTCCACGTCGCGCTCCCATTTCAAATTCCACACAACCGGAGTACAGCCCTAATTTTCAAATGTCCAACAGTTGCACAATTCCTTTATCGTACCCCTCTTCAACTTCCCTCCCCACTCCTCGCCCTCCTAATACATGTCTGATTCCTTTTGCACGTATGGTGTCCACCTGTGCATTGTAGGCTGGCTTCTGACTCGCAGAGGTGTGCTGATGTGTTCTATGCCGTGCCGAGACGGCAACGAGTCGAGGAGGATGGTTCGTGGTACCGTTCGAAGCCGCATGTGGACGCGGCAGTACCAGCACGAGATGGAGCATTGCTATGAGCAGGTCTGTCGAACCGTCGTGCTTGTAGATTACAGCTTTCGATCTTCTCGATTTTCTGCCGCCGCCTCGACGCGGACTGCCGAGGGCACGGGCTGGCGTATTGATCTGACCACGCGGCGTGATCACTCACCGTGCAGCCGGAATCCCGAACACGGGGCCCCCTGCTTTGGACGAGGTGGCGAAGGACCTCCGACCTGGTGAGGTAGTTCGCTGCGAGGCGAAAATGGGCGTTGCCAGCACGACGCTGAGCAGCAGCAAGTCGAAAATCGATTGAGCGATACTGGCCCTCCTGCCATACCCACTGTTCCTCGTCCATTGTCTTTCTCCTGCTTCGACTCCTGCCGACCCTCCTCTTCATCTCCCCCCTCTTAGCTTCGACTTGAGCCCCCATGCTGAGGGTCCTAGCAGCTGCTATCGAGGCCACAGCCTTGAGCCCTGCATGTAGGCTCCGAATTACAAGACGACGCATCGTTAGGGTTTGCGCATCTAGGAACCAAGCGCCAATTGGCCCCTCCGAGGCAGAATCCTGTGACCGCATGCTGGTCATTCCCATCATTCTCATATCTCTGTCTCTCTCTCTCTCGCTCTCTCGCTCTCTCTCTCTCTCTCTCTCTTTCTCTCTCACTCTCTCCATTTCACTCTCTCTCTCTCTCTGTCTTTCTCTCTCGCTCACACTCTCACGTTCGTTATTCCCCAATCAGTGCTTGCCTCTGTAGGGGTCCTAGCGGATTCATATGGTTAGGTTAGGTTTGCCGCCGATTTTCGCCGCACGCTTGGGTCCCCGGGTGCCCGGGGGTGCCCGGGTGCCCGGGTGTCTGGGTGCCCGGGTGCCCGGGCGTGCCCGGGGGTGCCCGGGTGCCCGGGGGTGCCCTCTGGCCCTATAGCCCTACAGCCCAATAGCCCTATAGCCCTATAGCCTTACAGCTCTATAGCCCTATAGCCCTATAGCTCAATAACCCTATAGCCCTATAGCCGTATAGCCCAATAGCCCCATGATTGTATTTTTTCTCTGGTATCAGTTTGTTATCTCTCTCTCTCTCCCTCTCTCTCTCTTTCTCTCTTTCTCTATCTCGCGCGCTCGTCTCTCTCGCGCTCTCCTCCTCCTCCTCCTCCTCCTCCTTCTCCTCCTCCTTCTCGTCCTCCTTCCCCCCTCGTGAGCTACAGTATGCATCCACGCCAAGCCAGTGCAGAGCGGTCCTACGATCGGGAGCCCCTGCACGCTGCAGTAGAGGTTCCTCCGCCTCACTGCGACGTGCTTGCAGCCGAAGATGCTCATGACCGGGCCACAAGCGTCGGATGCCCAAGAAGATGTGCGCGTGCGCCCGACGGCCGAGTCGTGCCAGCCAGCATGGCAAATTGCAGATGCCGTGCTACAGTGGGGAGGCCCATGTCAAGGAACACCCTGCTTGCTTCCAGGGTGCCCTGGATTTCTTGGGTTTCGATGGTGTTGCCATGGAGAGCGTGACGTTCCCACACCAAAAACCAAATGAAGTCCTGGGGTCTCAGGGTTGGGTTTCTTGTGGAAGGTTTCTTGTGGACTGGCCTCCACTGTTATCCTCTCACCAGTGGGGGCTGGAATCATGGTGAAGAGCGCCTCGAGCACCGAATACTTAAGCAAAACATCAACATAACATAGCCGATACCCCACACCATCCAGCTATCGAGGTCGGCATTGCCAGTGTCCTCTGGGAAGACGGAGGTCAGCCAGTCGAGAGCCCACAGTAATGACCGCGACGCAAGTTCCCGCAGCCACTCCTGGGCAGCTGAATCTGCGAAAGCTGGAGCAAGCGGGGCGTAGCGAGTGTGACCAAGAAGTGCAGGAACGCAAACGCGATGCGGTAACTTGTCATGAACTGTGCAACGGCTGAACGGGATATCCTCGAGGGCGTCAG